CGCCTAGTGCCCCAGTATCTCCTTCTGATGCTGTGTTCCTAGCTACTGCCGTCGTTCTGGTAAAAAATCGTGCTGGAAGCTTCGTGCCTTGCAGGGCGCTTTTAGATTCTGGCTCCCAGTTACACTTTGTCACAACTCGCCTTGCAAACCAATTGCAGCTTGTAAAATCAAAATCTTCTGCTACAGTATCTGGCATTGGAGATGCCAATTTCTCAGCGGAGGGTTACTCAGTCGACCTCGTACTGAAGTCGCGGACTTCAGATTTCTCAACAAACATAACAGCTGTTGTTGTGCAAACCATAACCGACAACCAGCCTGGCTGCTCCGTGAGCACCAACGAGTGGAATGTTCCGTCGAATATACAACTAGCTGATCCTGGGTTCAACTTACCGCAGCGAATTGATCTGCTCATTGGAGCAGCATTGTTCTTCGATCTGCTATGTGTGGGGCAGATACGCTTGGCATACGGTTTACCACTCCTTCAGAAAACACGCCTCGGTTGGGTGCTATCTGGAGGGGGGCAACAAGCTCCAAAACTATCACCTTTTGTGGTGCGACGGAAGTCCTCCAGTGATATTATTTCCACTCGGTTGGAAGATTTAGTGCGTCAGTTCTGGGAAATAGAGCACAACTTCGAGCCGATCTCTAAGGCCTCCCAAGAAGATATCGACTGCGAAGCCCACTTCCGGGAAAATTATTTGCGATTGTCATCAGGCGAATACTCAGTTCGTCTTCCCATGAAGCGTGGTGTGGAGGCCCTTGGAGACTCCTATTTGCAAGCTCGTCAACGCTTCGAAAGTCTTGAACGAAAATTCGCTCGTAACCCTGAGCTTAAAACAGAATATAGTAAGTTCATAAAGGAATATCTGGACCTTAATCACATGTCGCTAGTTACCAATGAGGTTTTTCAACAATGCAAGCATTTTCTGCCGCATCATTGCGTCATCACGGATGACAGTAGCACAACAAAGCTGAGAGTGGTTTTTGATGGCTCTGCATCCACTACTTCGGGCTTTTCGCTGAACGACCTACTCATGGCAGGCCCAACTATTCAGCCGAAACTTTTTAATATCCTTATTAGATTTCGTACTTTTCCCATAGCACTTACTGGGGACATCTGTAAGATGTATAGGTGTGTTCGCGTCACCCCACCAGATAGCATGCTCCAATGCATATTGTGGCGTGAATCTCCTCAGGAAAACTTTGCCATCTATAAGTTAGACACGCTGACTTAGGAAACTAAGCCTGCGTCATTTCTGGTCATACGTGCCATGCACCAACTCGCAGCTGACGAATCCTCGACTTACCCCATTGGTGCAGAAATAGTGCGTCGAGACTTCTACGTAGATGACTTGATATCTGGAGGCGATTCGATGGAAGAAGTACTGAATATCAAGCTACAAACAACTAGCCTCCTTGCTCGAGGAAACTTTAAGTTACGCAAGTGGTGCTCTAATAGTCCAGATATCCTTCGTGATATACCTGACGTAGACAAGGAACGTTTCCTTAAGTTTGACGATGGCAGTGACATCACCAAAGCTCTGGGACTAGTTTGGGATCCGGTCAAGGACAAGCTGCTATTTTCGTTTGTGCCACAACGAGAACTCGGTAAAAACTCAAAACGCTCCGCGTTGTCTACTCTAGCTCGCTGTTACGATCCCCTTGGACTAATGGGCCCTACGCTGACCAAGGCGAAGATTCTTCTGCAACGCATGTGGAGAGACAAGCTTGAGTGGGATGAGAGTCTACCGCAATCGTTAAACACCGCCTGGTCTACCTTTTGCAGCGGGTTTGCAGACATACAGCACCTATCATTTCCTCGTTACGTCTTGCAACCTGGGGCCATTACAGAAATTCATGCATTTTGCGATGCAAGCCTTGAAGCTTATGGGGCTTGCGTTTATACGCGTTCAGCCAAGGATAGTAAGGTACAAGTGCACCTGTTGTGTTCGAAGGCCCGTGTCGCTCCACTGAAGACTATCACCGTGCCCAAGCTGGAACTCTGTGCAGCAACACTGCTGGCACAACTCATGGGTGAGTTTACAAAAATGAAGCTTTTTAACTGTTCATTTCATTGTTGGTCAGATTCCTCCACTGTCCTCTCGTGGCTGCGAGAAGAACCATCGAAATTTAACGTATTTGTCGCTAACCGAATTTCCACCATACATCAATTAACGGAGGGCATGCGGTGGCACTATGTTCCGACAGCAATGAATCCGGCGGACATTTTATCCAAAGGAGCTACCCCGCAGGAACTTCTAGGATCTTCACTTTGGATGCACGGCCCGTCATTTTTGCGAGAAGTGGAGGGCAGCTGGCCGCGCATGTGTCTACCACAACCAAAACTTCCAGAACTTCGACAAAAGGTGTTGCTTGCCGCACATAACCGCAATGACATTTCGCTTTCGTTCAAGTACATTAATTCATTTGGAACAATGCAGCGCATTTTTGGGTACGTCAGCAAATTTGTCAATATTACAACATCGCCAAGCTCTTCGCAGCTCACAGCCGCAGATATTCACCATGGAACTCAACTGCTTATTCGCTTAGTACAAAGAGCGCAACTTTGGCCGGAGTACACGGCATTACAGGCCAATAATTGCGTCCCGAGTTCGAGCAGCATTGTTTCGCTATCACCATTTCTTGATGACTTTGGAATTATTAGAGTCGGCGGGCGATTAAAAAACTCTATGCTTAGTTTTGAATCGCGCCACCCATGCATTATTCCGAAGGATCATCCACTGACATTTAGTATAATAACCTTTTTTCATCGCAAACAACATCACGCAGGTCCTCAAGCTTTACTCGCCGTCATTCGAATGCAGTTTTGGCCCATAGGTGGTCGGAAAACAGTCACTCGAGTCCTACAAAAATGCATTATTTGCTGCAAATCGAGACCGCGCCTTGTCGAGCACATAATGGCCGACCTGCCTAAAGAGCGAATTCAGGCATCGCGCCCATTCATAGCCACCGGTGTGGACTACTGTGGGCCATTTTATTACAAGCCTGAAGTACGCAATAAATCGCCCCACAAATGTTATGTAAGCGTTTTCATTTGCTTCGCCACAAGGCTGTATGGATGGAGTTGGTAAGAGACCTCTCAACAGGTGCTTTCATTGACGCGCTAAAACGATTCATCGCTACGTGTGGCATACCCAGCTGCATCTGGTCTGACAATGCGACGAATTTTGTAGGCGCCAAGAACGAGCTTAAAGAACTACGGAACTTAGCCCTCAGCGAGAAACACCGCAGCGAAGTCCACAACTTTTGCCTCAGTAATGGCTTTGATTGGCGTTTCATCCCACCTCGCTCTCCGCACTTTGGCGGTTTGTGGGAAGCGGCCGTAAAAACAGCCAAACAACATTTCTATCGTTCCGTTGGCTCATCACTGCTTGGCTTCGATGAATTGCGTACTTTAGTATGTCAAATCTGTGCTGTCATTAACTCTCGTCCTCTCGTACCCCTTTCAGAAAACCCAGAGGATTTAGATGTGCTAACGCCAGGCCATTTTTTGATTGGTGGTTCTCTGACAGCTCTTCCGGAACCGGATCTAACGACGCTAAACTACGACCGACTTGATCGATGGCAGCGTGCAACATACATTAAACAGGTTTTTTGGAAGCGGTGGACTCAAGAGTATCTAACTCTTCTACAGCAACGCGCAAAGTGGCGTTTACCTCATGCCAACATTCAAGTCAATGATGTCGTATGCATAAAGGAAGAAAACTCACCACCACTGAAGTGGCCTCTAGCACGGGTAATCGAAGTTGTCCCTGGAGCAGACGGTGTCGTACGTGTGGCACTTTTAAAAACATCTAGCGGCATAACGCGACGAGCCGTGAACAAGCTGTGTGTCCTCCCGGTGAAGGATTCTGTTGAAAGCCCTGACCTTTCAACGGGGGGGAGGATGTTCGGAGCAGCAGCGGATAAGCCAGCAACATAAAATATGTTTATCAAAATCAATATGAATAACGTTATTTGATCACACTGAAATTTTCATACTCAATTGAGCTGCATATTTACTTGTATGTATTTAAACTGTGCTTATTTTGTTTCCCCTTTATACTATGTATAAAGCATACGTATATACATACATACATATATGTATGTGCATACGTACCGCCCGCGCTCAGTTGGATACATTCGTATGCAAGCAAGCGAAAAATAGTAAATATGTATGTAAGCAATATTGTGTGCGCGGGTGCATACGTGCATAAATATATATATGTAAATTCTCATGCATTTAAGAAAACTGGTTTTCTATTGTTGGTGATGAATTTGCAGTTATCCAATGTAATTAGGACATACTTAAATAGTTCAAGGTGAACTTTCTGTTAGTTAGTCGCGGACCAAATCTTGTTAAATACAGTTGCTTAACTTATGCATACATCGTTTGTTTTATTTTAAGAGCTGCTAAAAAGGCTTAGTAGCTCAACATGTACAATAATAATGAAATTGATTTAAACTATATACCAACCGATAAAATGATGTCAGATATATTAACTAAAAATTTACTAAAAACAAAACATGTAAAATTTACCAATGAGATGGGTATATTTTAAAATATTAATGTAAAGTGTTGAGAAGGAGTGTTGGAAATATATGAAACTAGTTTATTCTTTCCATCTCTTCGCTACTTTTCCTTCTTGTTCTCTTGTACGCATAGCTCGTAAGCAATTCGTTTGTTAAATGTCAGTCAGTCTATTCTAACTATTCAAATAAAGCAAACCAAACATAAGTATTAAATTGATGAACATTCCCACGACAGCCGGTTCTACGTACCGGAATGACTCCGGTTTCACCCGACCAAGGGCTGTTGTTTCGGCGATCTAACCCCGTTTAGGTCGGCGAAGTATCTCAGAAGTTGTCCGTCCATAGGGCAACATTCACTACGCATTCTCCTACTCAGGGCTGGCATCGAGTCAAACCCTGGGCCAGAAATATACACCTGCTGTGTATGCCGAAGTCGATTACACCACAACTCCACCTCAGTCAAGTGTAATGCCTGCGAGGGGTGGAGTCACCTCAGGGTCTGCTCGGGACTACGGACACACAGACAGTGGACCACGTCGTACGTGGCCCCCTGTTGCTCTAACAGAGCAGCCTCCACGGCAACCCATAGTCCGCCCGTGCAGCCCCACACACTCACACAGCAACCACACACAGTCGCCACAACACAACAACATACCACAGCCACCACAGACCACATAACACACACAACCGCACCACCACCCACACGCCGCCGCCAACAACTCCTTGTTCCCCCTACAATCTGCACGGTATGTCAGACCAGAATATTCCGTAATGTGACATCAGTCAAGTGCAACACCTGCCTTGGCTGGTGCCACTTTAGGGCATGTTCAGGTCTGCGCACCACGCGAGATTGGACGGGGAACTTCGAGGGCCCGTGTTGCGCTGCTCGGTCGCTGACATCAATTTCGACGCCCCCCACTACCACCACAGGGAGGCAATCACCTCAGCAGCACACACAGCCAACGGCGGCAAGAACATACACCTCACTCACACCCCACATCACAACACGTCTCCCGAACCACATGAAGCTCCTCCAATTCAACTGTAACGGGCTACAGAGCAAGATTGAGGAGATAACCGCCTTCATGTGTCGGCATGGTATATTAATAGCTGCGGTCCAAGAGACGAAGTTGCAAAGCAATTCAACTTTGTTGAATTGTGCCGGGTACAACGTGCACCGTCAAGATCGCGAGCGAGATAATGGTGGTGGCTTAGCGTTCATCACGCACCACACCGTGCAGTATCGTCTTATCGAAGCAGACATCGACCGCAGGGATACCACCCTAGAATGTCAGGGCATCGCTATCCGGTCAGGCGATGTCGAGCTCGAAATATTTAATATATACATACCCCCTGTCACCTGCTGCCCGGCAGGATATCACCCTGATATAGGTGCGCTCCTCAGAGGTGAAAACCGTATGGTAGTAGGTGACTTTAATGCGCACCACGATCTTTGGCACTCAAGCCTGTCAAACGATCGTAGGGGAAAAGACTTGGCTGAGCAGATAGACGATTCGACATTCTGCACAATGAACGACGACGCACCCACCAGGATTATGGGTAACTGCAGTAGCTCGCCAGACATCACAATAGTCAGCGCTGGTCTGATAAACAGCATAACGTGGCGACCTATGCTGACTCTAGCATCAGACCATCTACCCATAGTCATCTCGATTGATAAACCAACCGACTTTGCCTCCGCCAAACACCGGACCTACGTCAACTTTTCTAAAGCTGACTGGAAAGGTTACGCGGAGTTTACTGAAAACACCTTCACATCGCTCCCCACACCAACCGACGTCCATCTCGGTGAACGTAAGTTCCGCAGGGCTATCACTGCTGCTGCAGCTCGTTTCATACCGGCAGGGTGCATATCGGACCCACGTCCAAACTTCCCTGCCGAAGCGGCTGTTTTAGCCAATGAGCGTGATAGCCTTCGTCAGGCCGATCCCGGAGATCCCCGTATCAGGGATCTCAACGCGGAGATTCGGCAACTTGTAAACGTACATAAGCGGAAGAAGTGGGAGGAGCATCTGAAGACTTGCAACTTCACCTCTGGTGTGAGCAAGCTTTGGTCAACCGTGAGGTCACTGTCTAATCCGCCGAAGCACGACGACAGAGTCGAAATTTCCTTCGGCGACCATGCTTCGTCGGACCCGGAGCGATGCGCGAGCTATTTTAGCCGGCAGTTCATACTGCATCCTCCGGTGGACAAAGCCAAGCGTCGAGTGACCAGAAGGCTGCACAAACTGCCAACAACCTGTGCCCCCCTTGCTTTCACTTGCGGTGAAGTTCAGGTGGCCATCGGGAAGGCGAAAGCCTCCAAAGCCATGGGTCCCGACGGAATATGCATGCTGATGCTGACAAATTTGGGTCCTGCGGGGGTAGCGTACCTAACGGAGGTCCTCAATTTGTAAATGGCCACTCTCATCATCCCAGACATCTGGAAGGTGGGGAGAGTGGTCCCACTGCTCAAACCGGGGAAACCTGCAAACAAAGGAGATTCGTATCGTCCGATTACACTCCTTTCCCCGGTAGCGAAGATACTCGAGGCCTTGCTACTCCCGTACTTCACAAATCACCTGACCCCAGCGAAGCATCAGCATGGTTTCCGAAAAGTGCACAGTACAACAACAGCACTTAACGCCATAAACACTCAGATAACTCGTGGCCTTAACCGTAACCGTCCCTGTGAGAGAACGATTCTAGTAGCGTTGGACTTGTCAAAGGCGTTTGACACCGTCTGCCATTCCACGCTACTAGAAGATATAGAGGCCTCCTCTCTCCCACAGAGGCTCAAACGGTGGTCGGCAAATTATCTAAGTGGTCGACATTCGTCGGCAATGTTCAGAGACAAAACGAGTAAGCACCGAAAAATAAAACAGGGGGTTCCTCAGGGTGGTGTCCTTTCCCCGCTACTGTTTAACTTTTATATTTCAAAGCTCCCTCAACCACCAGAGGGAGTCTCGATTGTCTCCTATGCCGACGATTGCTCGATTATGGCGACTGGGAATGGAATTGATGACCTGTGTTCGAAAGTAAACGGCTATCTCTCCGAACTTTCTCGCTTCTTCACTGCAAAGTGTCTAGCCCTCTCCCCTACGAAATCCTCCGCGACCCTTTTCACAACCTGGACGAAGGAGGTCAGGCTACCGCTGGGGATTCACGTCGATGACACACCAATTCCGACGGTGAATAACCCCAAAATACTCGGAGTAACATTCGACAGCCTGCTCTCCTTCTCTGCGCACTCAACCGCTATTGTCAATAAAGTACAGAGCCGCAACAAGGTCCTCAAGTCGCTAGCCGGCAGTACTTGGGGCAAAGACAAAGAAACGTTGCTGGCAACATACAAGGCAATAGGCCGGCCGGTCTTGAACTACGCAGCGCCAGTGTGGTCGCCAGGGACTAGTAGGACGCAGTGGACGAAGCTACAGACGGGACAAAATACGGCACTTAGGACAGCGACGGGATGCCTCCTGATGTCGCCAGAACATCACTTGCACGGCGAGGCGCAAATGCTCCCAGTTAGGGAGCACAACATAATGCTCTGCAAGCAGTTCCTGATCGGGAGCCACAGAAGTGGCCACCCAAACAGACAGCTGCTTGCAGAGGAGCCCTCGCCTAGGCACGTCAGGAGGCATCTATATGAACTGACGGACGAAGTCCAGAGGTTCATTAAGCAACCTCTGGACCCGACAGCGTACAGACAGGCCCTGAACGGCATTCACAGGGACTCAGTCTCGAGTTATGTAGACTCTCGACCTGTGAATGCCGTTCTAGGCATACCACCTCCGGACATTGACGAGACAGAGCTTCATCTGCCTCGGGAGACACGCACTACACTTGCTCAACTTCGCTCCGGCTACTGCAGCAGGTTAAACTCCCGAACGAATGTCCGGCATGCGGAGAGACCCCACATGACTCGAACCATCTCTTCGCATGCCCGGAAAACCCGACTACCCTAACG